AGGCTTTTCCTGCATGTTCGCTTTCACACATCAACCACATGTCTCTCTCACCTCAGATATCTGTTTCTCTTCAGAGAAATGTAGCCTGAATGACTGGACACTTATTATACTGATATGTAAGGCTGTAACTAGTTGTGGGCGGTATGGCCTGAAATGTATATCACGGCATAACAAAAAATTCTGACAGTTTCAGTACACATTATATCATAATGTATTTATATGTATACCTTTTTAATTAAATGAATAATAAGGAGTTTAAGTATGTCGGGGTCTCATTCACGAGTGATGTGAGGCGGCAGCAGTAATGCGGTCGCTGTACCGAACTATAGTGGTGCAGAGCTGAGCCATAAGGCAGAGCTGTCTGTTTATCGGTCGGTCTACATCCCCTACCCTCACCTATGGTCAAGGCTATTGACTGAAAGAATGAGTTACAAGTGGCGGAAATGAGCTTTCTTCACAGGGTGGCGGGCTACACCCTACTTGACAGGGTGAGGAGCTCGGTCATCGTGGAGGAGCTCAAAGTAGAGCCGCTACTCCTCCACATTGAGAGGAGTCAGTTGAGGTGGTTCGGACATCTGATTAGGATGTCTCCCTTTGGAGGTTTACCAGGCACAGCTGACTGGGAAAAGACCCTGAGGTTGTCCAAGGACCCGCTGGAGGGATTATGTCTCCAAGTTGGCCTGAGAGCGGATGAATGAGCTGGAAGAAGCTGCGAAGGATAGGGTTGTCTGGGCTTCTCTGCTTTCCCTATTGCAACTGCGACTCTAGCTGGATCGAGCAGTTTAAGATGATGATGATGATGACAGTAAAAACAGAACTGAGCAATATATAGATACACCTTTACAACTGTATGCATAAGTTTGGATGCCCCTGGTCAGTTTATGTGTTTTGTTGAAAATAAGTTAACACATCTTCTAGAAGAAACACAATTAAATGTGGTATTTTTGTGCAAATTTTAGTGCACAGTTTCTATTTATTTGTTGAGTTTATCATATAAGAAAGACATTAAACATAAAATACAAATATGTTTGGTAAAAAACGGTATAGATAAAAAAGTTCAACTGGTATACTGGATTAAGTTGTATATCATCCACTATTAGCTATCAGCTATATCAGTAATCAAGTAATCTACCCATTATTTTGACAATTTATTGAGACTTTGAGCCCATTAAAAGTGGACATATCTGAACAACAAAAAGTTATGCATAGCCCTTTCAAGATTCTAAAATTACCGAAAACAAACCGGGAAGCTTTTTAAAAAGACTTCATTAAATAAATAGCAAAATCACACACATAAATGAGTGTGTCCATCAGGATTCTTACTGTAGCAAAATTTAAAATATGCAATATTATCATCACCATGCTGATTCATTAAGACGGTAAATTATAACGGTAAATCTAAAAGTAGATAACTTTTTTTAATCAAGTAATTGAGTTTAATTAAGTAATCAAGTCCTACTGATGTAAATTCTTTCATAAATAATGATTGCTCTCTAAACAAACTTTCAGAAATGGAGCGTGCATCACTCTCCTGCATTGCCAATCAATATTAATACACTAGTAATACAAGAACCAAAACTGGATGCTAACCTCAGATTCAGGACAAACACTGTAGAAAGAGGGTTTAATCCCAGCTGGCAGACCAGTCCACAGTCCCAGCCTTAGTGTGTGATGTAAGATTCCAGCCCTAACACTGTTACATAAAAGTCAGGTAGAATTCTCTGTATCACGGCTGTATGATATGGACGAAATACCATATTGCTACATATTTTAACTCTGATATACACTGCGATATACTGTATGCAACACATGCAATATGGGAAACCCTTAAATGGTCAGGGTTCGCCAGCAGGCCCAGAGTTTTATTACACACTTCTATAACCTAAGAATAGCTCAAATAGTTTCCATTGGAGTCCCCGTAGTTACTAAATTATGAGCCTTAGTATATAATAAGCCTGGGACTTTAAGGGGTTAAACACTGGCCGTTTTGGGGGGGGGCATGATACATTAGTGGCTGATATATTATTGACTGATAAATACAACTACTAATTAAGCATCCTAACCTAGTTTTTAGCTCACACCAGCACTGATGCACACTAGTCACTGTTGTCTGTTGCTATTCTTCTCAATTCACTTAAACAGTAAAGCCTGACAAATATTAACACTTTGCTGTCAATACTGATTGCAAGGGGCTAAAGTTTGAACACCCCTGGTCAAATGACAGGTTTTGTTGATTTTCTATGTGAAAATAAGTACACATCCTCTACAGAGAACACACTTCTGCACATTTTAATGCACAATTGCACACATTTAAAAGTTATGGCACATTTTATACTTTTTCTAACTAAGCAAATAAAAAGAAATTGTACAAAAAATGTGCAAAGAAATACCATATTTAAGTTTGTTCTCTGTAGAGGATTAAACTTCACTTTCACTTAGAAAAACAAAAGAGCATGCAATATGACCAGAGGTGTTTGAATATTTGCATATGAAAGTATATTTATTATTTACATTTTAATGTTCTACCCCAATTGTTTTAGTTAAACAGCGCTTTACTGACAGATGTTTCTCAATTGTCACATTTCTTAAACTCAGAAATTCAGTCATTTTGTAGCACTGGGGGGGCGGAGCCAGGCAGTATTGTTTGAAGTTTTGATTTCTGTTCTATTTCCTCTTATTTTTCTAATTTTTCATTAATTCTCTTCTTAGGAAAAACATTATTCTCATGCTAAAGGCTAGTCTGGATACATTTTACATGTTTTATTTTTATCATATGTTTGTTTTTGTGTTAAGATTCAGCAGTTCAGTCTGTATTGCTGTGGTATCTTAAAAGTGGTGATGCACATTTTACTCCCCAGTGGCTCAAACAGCTCATGTTCAAACTTATCATTGGGGGACTGCAAGTATGAATCCCAGTAAAAGAAAAAAAAAAAAGAAAATAATAATAATAATAATAATAATAAAAATTGTAATTTGCTAAGGAGCTCATTTGCATATTAATATTGTGATAATGATTAACATTAACATATTGCATAGCCATAGTTTAGACCAATCTACAGCGCGTTGTTTAGAGCTACATGACTGGAGTCTTTTTTTGCTGAGCATGCAAAGCCACAATCCCAGCATGCCCTATGCTGTGATAAGGGAGGGTGGGGGCGGGGTGTCTGTGGGGCGGGCTGTTACTCAGAGAGGGGTTAAAACCCTAATGAACTCTGCTCTGATCTCTGAGTCTCCTGCCCTGTCATTATCACTGCCTTAACCCTCCCTCTGCATCACTTACAAGTAATCCTACACACACACACACAGACACACACACACACGCACCCCAACGGTGAGCAGCAGTCCCTTGGGGGCTTAATTTGTGTGAATGTGCACCATAACACTGAGTTCTACACTGTGTAGAGCCATTTAAGCAGCGGTGATTTCATTTGTGTATAAGATAAAGCATCAAATGAAGCGGAAACAACAAGAATAAGTCAAATGCAAAAAACCCTCAGGCTAGATAATTCATTCAGTTGCTGTTGTAACAAAACTGTAATAATCTCCAAGCTAGTAACTTTACAGAGGAAGCAAAAACATGTGCTTAACATTTTAAAGGGCCCGTTTAAATGAAAACAGAATGTTCCTTGTTTTCTGTGACATACAGAAGCCTGTTTAAGTGATAAAGTGAGGAAAATGCACATGTAAAAATGAATAATGAATGACTGTTTTTTATTCATGAACCCATAAAAACATCATAAGTGGACTATAAAGACAAAATTACATGATATATAAATGTAGCAAACATTGAATATTGATATAAAGAGAATTTATTAGACATCATTTTGGACCATTTCTATTGGTTGTTTTAATCATGGAATGTTCTATGTAAAGGACAGCTGGTGCTTTCAAATGGTGTAAAAAAAAACAGAAAAAAAGTTGTGATGGCAAATTATTCTCATGCAAAATGTTTTACTGTAATAAGAATAAACATTTTGACCACTTTCAGCATTATTTGCGAAAATATGAGGATTTGTTTTTTTTCTTTTTGTGAAAATATTTGATGCAATTCTGATGTAAAACACTTGATACATGCTCCAGCTTTAATAAACAAGGCTCTGTGTTTTGCTAGTGAGTGTAAGTCTATGTGTTTGTTTGTGTAAATCAGGCTCTGGGGTTTTAGCACGTGTCTCTACAGTAATGAGAGCCAAGCGCTAATGCAGTCATGGCTGTAAAGGTCTGGCTGTCCTGCCAGAGCTCCTCGGCTTTCTCTGATCTGCTTACAGCAGCTTCCTGCCTCGGCGCTGTTAGAACAGCCTGATGACGGAACAAAGTTGAAGCTGTTTTGCTATGTCGAGTGAGTGAGCGTGTGTGAGTGTTTTACAGGAATAACACTATTAGCAGAGCATTGTTCTCCGCACTGCTGATTTCCTGAGTCACATACGCGCACACTAGGCCTGCCACCTCAACCCTCTAAAATTCCTGGATGCTTGATCACTGGCTTTATTTGTTTAAACTAAATTCAGCGAAGAGGTAGCCATGCTCACGATGTGAAAATCACTGCTCTGCTGTGTAAAGTATTTAAAATGTTGCAACCTACACATCAACATGCCATTCTAGCTGCATTCTTTACATTCTGGTGCATTTACTGGTTGTGACTGGTTATGAAGTGCTTGGTGATGTTATCTTCATCTTCATTCATGTGGTAACTTAGATTAGCTAACCAAACAGGTGTTATCTTTAGGAATATGGAATTTGTGTTTGGTCTCCTATTTGCTGGTGATCTGGACTGGACTGGACCCTTCCTACAGTCAGGTTCACATTGAAAACTTGCTGTGCTGTGGGTCAGGTCAGGTTGGACTTGGGTGGGATACTTTTGGGACTATTTTTGGGTTTGGGTCAAAATTTCAGACACGTTTAAAGCTCTAGCGGGAATGAATGTTTACAATATAGCAAGATTTAAGTTCAACAGCACCACTCCAGTGTGTAAGTCTGCATGCATGAGTGTGTGCAGTTCTTACCCTGAGTGTGTGTATGACGAGGTCCTGAGCCTCCAGCTCTCCCTCCAGGATGCTAAGTAGCATCAGCAGCTCCGTCTTACTCAGAGTCTCCACATTCATCCTGCCTGCCTAAAACACACACACACCGAATGATTAATGCTGAGTCTCCTGATTGAGTCTCCACGAGTTGATTCAAGTTCCTAATACATCACTTTAAAATGTCTAGAAATCTTCTCAATCAAAAAGACATCAAAATCCTCCATAACAATGCACAGACAAATAACTTCACATTCCTCTAAACAACAGAGTATTCCAGCAAACAACACGCAGTCTGGATTCAACAAACAGAGCATTAGAACATCAGAATATCTGCAAATCTCCTGTACACACTGCACTGCTGTGATGCCTTTAGCTGTGATTTTTGGTGTATAAACTCCATACTGTTATATAATACATGCACTACAGTTCAACAATGTTTTCAATGATATAAAAACAGTTTAAAATTATTCTAATGCACTAATCCTGTGCAACTTCAAAAGGTAATTACAAATCATTAGTAGAAAAATAAACAATTTTTTCCATCTTTGTGAGACATTTTCCATCCAGATTGATAGACAGAGCTGTAAAATTAACTGTTGATTCTAAAATACAATAAAATCAATATTTACAATGTGTTGAATTTCAAAAGTGACAATGCCATCTTAAGGCAGATAACTTGATGATTACAGTACATTCTTCATTCTTAAATAACTTTTTGCTGTTGCCAAAATACTTGAAACCTTAAATACGACAACTTAGAGTACCCTCTGTTGTCTTGTTTAGAGCATGTAAACATTGCATAAGTTGTTATTGTATATAAAATAACAAAATTGATTAATATAAAAAGTGATTCCAAATTTACTAGCGAGCTGTAGTGCTTCTCATAAGAGGAGGCCTAATGTAAAATAAAAACCACGTTCCTAATTCAATACTTAATTTCTATTTAATAGAATCATCATCATACAGATTATATTAATCCTTTTATTTTAGTATGTTTTTGTAGGTAAAATTACGAAATGCCTAATGGAAAATTGTGATTTTAGGCCTTCTGGAGGTCCTAGGTACACCACTGACTGGGAGTATGAGTGGTAACCTGACCAGGTTTCAGTTAGTTGTTAGGAATGGGAAACAGTGGTGGCAGCTCCATGCCAGGGCTCTTTACTGAGACTCACTGTTAAACTGCAACATATAAGGGAAAAGATACATTATTGTCTGTTACAAGCACCAAATAAAACACAGAATGCCTTTTGGAAGTTTTAACAGTAAAAATGTTCATGTGAACGGATGTTAGCCACAGTTCGCCAGTGGTATACTGAGTGTGTTGACGTCAGTCAAATCACATTAAGCCTAGCCTCTAAAAGCATCCTGACTGCCACAATATTGTTGTTGTAACATAACCTATTATAGTATCATATTGCTTCAGGGTTATGGAGCAGAGTTAGCCTGTGCACATACTTACACAAACAGATCAATTTCTCTGGTCTCACAAACAGTGACATTATTGGAACATAACAGTGGCTCATAATGTGACCTCATTCAGCTTCAGCATTGCTGGCCATGAGTTACCTCTGACTCTCAATGAGGGCTGACGTTTCCATGTCAAACGTTGAGCATGAATGAATGAACACTCGGAGATACACGATTACAGCACTATACGCATATGCAGGAACACAGACACACACTCACACAGAGTGGTATTCACTGTCTCTGCTCTGTGGCTTGGCTAGTTTTCAGACCGCAGAAATACAGGAAGCTATTAGCATATCAAAATGGTGGGAGTCTACTCCCACCTAGCCACACGAATACCCACAGTAATTAACTGCTGTGTGTAATGTAACGGATTCTATGCGTCCAACAGTGTGTGTACACAAAGTGTACTGGCACTGCTATTAAACACCTCTTTGTTTGCCACTGACGGGACGTGTTGTGGTGAGAATCCAGCGACCACGACCATCCTCCATCCGGCAGAGGGGAAGTGCTGGACTCTGTTCAATGTTCTGTGGTTTCCAGCTTCATGCTGAGCCTGACGGTTTGGCTAGTTTTTGTTTGTTTGTTTGTCTTATGGAGTGGAGCACATGACTGTAGAGGAAAGAACAGATTTGGCTGTAACAGCAGGGGGCAGCTTACAGGTGCCTTGGCTCAACACATCATACTATATTAAGTTGCCAGGTGCCTACATTGTATCTACACTCACTGGCCACTTTATCAGAAACACCTACCTTATAGGACCACCCTGAGCATATATTGTTTGGGTGGTGGAGCATTCTCAACACTGCAGTGGTACCAACATGTTACCAGTGTCGTGCTGTATGAGTGCATCAATTTCAACAACAATGCTAGAAGCTTTAAACACCTCAATGTCACCACAGCTAGACCGCCACCTAAAAATATCCAGCCAACAGTGTTCCAGTGGTCAGAAACGGACCACTGATGAATGACTAGAGAATGACTAACACAAATTCTGCCTGGAAAAAAATGAGCTGTCTGAGGCTCTAATTGTACACCAACAACATGTGCCAACAGGTACAGTACTGTGCAAAAGTCAGAGACCACCCTTCATTTATTTCATTTCCAGTCTAAATGGCCAATAATCACATCAAACTAAGAACTGCTGCTGTTCTCAGAACAATGGACTGATTTCATAAACATCACTGGAAGTTTACTTCGATTGTGAGAAGCAGGAAGTGCAACCAACTTCTAAGACTGAACTTTGGAGGTGTGGAAAATATCAGTGCAGCTGAAAAGTAATTTCCTGTTAAATATAGCATTACTGTCCAAAGAAGAATATATACGTCCAATACAGTAATAAAAGAGAAGGCAAAAATGTTCTGAGCTTTGAGTGTCAGTCAATGTAATCAGATTTTATTCCAAGATATTTTGGGGTATTTCTTTTGGTGCATTCCTCATGAAATTTTCATACAACATAAAGAGCAGCTGCCATGTACAAATGATATAGAAAAAAAAATTGACAAAATGAACATTCTTGTTGTTATTTAGACAGTGATGATATGTTTTCTGCTTTTTTTCTGAAAAATGAATAACTTGGTTGTGTTGACCAGACATTATGTATGTGCAGGTGGTCTCTGACTTTTGCACAGCTCTGTAGGTGTGTCTAATAAAGTGGACAGTAAGTGTGAACAGTGTGTAAAAACCCTGGCAATGCTGCTTGTGCCTGATGCGCTCATATCCGCACAACACACAGTAACTACCTTGTTGTTATCAATGCTGTCCTAATACTGTGTTAGTGGGGGTCCTAGGGAGGTCTCTTTCCATTGATGGATAGGGTAAGTAAGGCTGACAAATTGCGCATATTGTATGCCTCCAAACTGCACCTACAGGATAAATGTATCTGCTAAAATGCTGTACAAGGAGTGTAGCTACCTAGTAAACTGGCAACGCAGTCTGCTTACTCACCTCTGACAAGGCTGTACCTGCTTCATCAAACATCTCTGCCTGTTTGTTCTGAGATTTTGCCATCTCACATTCATTCACTCCAAAAGGGACCCGTCATAGCTTTCTACACTGCTACAGTTGTGTTTGTAATGCCTGCAAAATGACCATATTGCCTTACTGAGGCTTCTGAGAATGTGGAGGACTGAAATAACCAGTAATTGCCTCAGTCAGCCCAAAGCCAGAGCCTGAGATATGCACTCTAATCTCAAACACACAGTCCACGTGTGATAGCCAACATGGAGGGCAGCAGCAGAACTGCAATCTGAAACCTACAGTTCTTCAATTTTAGAACTTACAAACTTACAAGTACTTGCTAGAACTCCAAATGACTCTAGATTCTACAGGCCTGGTTCAAGTGCACAAGTAAGCTAGAATTATGTTCTAATAAGCTCTTCTGAGCACATCATGGGTATTTTTAAGCACTCTTATGGGTATCTGTTACAGTTATGGAACAACTATTAAATTGATGTACAGCTCATACCTTTTCTGGGGAAAATACTGGTGTTGCACAAAAATTTAGCATCATGCAGAGGAATATATTTCATCACATGCTTTATTAAAAACAGCAGATGGAAATCGGGAGGTTTTTGTGTTGGATGAGTAACATAGGCTACGTTCACACAGCAGGTAAAAGTGACCCAAATCTGTTTTTCTCACCAAATCTGATTCTTATTGTTTGGCTGTTCACAATATCTTTTAAATGTGACTTATATGTGACATTAGTCTGAACAGATCACTCTCCCAGACTGACCCACATGAGCAAAAGAACAATGCTTCATGTGGCGCGCTCATCCAGAGGTAAACAATCATGACTGCCAACGAATGCAGGTCCACTCCCAGAGTTTCATCTTCGCCAGCATTACAGGAGCGATCATGAAGTTCTAATGGTTGACAGCACGGCTCTTCACCCAGAATGTGTTTGGGTTCACCGAAAAAAGGGCACGTAATTCAGCCAAGGTCACTTCTTTGGTTAGTGGATTCTTCAAACTTTTTTCTTTACTAACGCTGCAGCCTCGGTCTCCTACGGTTGCATTCAGCCATTTTGTTCAAAACTCCGGAGCGGTTGCAATAAGTGCCTTCTAATTTTTTAGTACAGAAACATCAGCCTAAATGTTTATGAGGTCTCAGCAGCGCGAAATTATGACGAATGTCGAGTTGGATTGACATAAAAGTCAAATGAATTCCGATCTGGCTGTTCAGACTGAGTCGCATTGCCGCATATCGGATACGGATCAGATTTTAGTACCACATATGAAAGTGTCTCAAATCAGAATTGAAAAAGTCAGATTCAATGTGTTTTTTTGCTGTTCACACTGACACACAGATGACACATCTGTGTCACATATGAAGAAAAAGATTTGGGCCACTTTTACCTGCTGTGTGAACAAAGCCATAGTCTCAGATGAGATAATGAGCTAAAACTACAGCTAACTGCTCCTCTGACTCTTTGATGGAGACTCATCATCTTCTACAGCAGTTTTTTTCCATCTTCAGTAATGTGCCAACATGTTAGTTTACCAGAGAAGTATATTTAAACTGTTTCTGGGCCTAACATCAGCCTAGGCTATTTAGTGCTTACAGGCACACTATCTTCGGCTTCTCAATCACAACCATATTTATATTCTTGGAAACATGCT